TCAACCACATCAAGGAAACCTGCCACCCCTCCTCGCCGCCGCAGTCCGTCATCTCGCATTCTCGACCCCCAAAGGACCCGGGAGGATTTTCCCGTTGAGAGGATGTGACCGTCTTGTTTTTTTTTTCTCTCTATCTTCCATCGGGCTGCCCGCGGTTTGCTCTCCAAATTAAATCTTCTGCCCAGTCGTCTTGGCCTCGAACCTCCCCGCTTCGATCGCCATTGCATAACGGAGTAGATCCAGTGTCATGATCTGATCTGACCATGGCACCCACATGAAGCGATCCATCTCATTACTCAGCTCTTAACCTAACACTGGTTCCTTCTCAACTTCGCATCGTGGCTTTTTTTGTTGGACTCTTCTCTTCTAGTCCTCTTGGTTGCTCTGGGTGAGATACCCGTGTCTCCAGCATGGTCTACTGCGGTAAGCCGTCGAAAGGCTGTTCCAACTGTCGTGAGCGCAAGATCAGGGTAAGTTCCCTATCCTTGTTGTAGATATTACGCAACTCGTGCAGCTAGGTCTGCCCTCGTTGTTGATTGCCAAAAGTCTCTTGCATGGCGGCGAGGAGGCAACGTCTTCTCGAACAGCGGGAGAGTCCCCTGATTTTAGGCTAATGACGACGCCAATAGTGTGATCAAAAGGAGCCCGGCTGTGGCCAGTGTGAGAAGCGACAGCAACAATGTCCTGGCTACCGAAACCTCGTCGACCTCATGTTCCGAGATGAGAGTTCACACGTCATCAAAAAAGCTGCCAAAACGAAGGCAAGGGGTCGATTAAAGAATGCACAGGCCTCGAGTGCCGGATCGTCCTCCGGAAATGTAATAGCAAGCACCGACCACGACAGCTCCGATCCGAGTCCTGGAACGGCCGTAAAATCCGGCGTTCGGCGCCAATATCCACCTCGTCCCATGGATACCACGATGCAGAACATGACCATTAGGCATCGGCCACGGCAGATTCAATGGTCTTCCTCCTCCTCCGATAGCGATGACGACGAAGACGGGCCCTGGTCAATGGCACCACGCGCAAGGCCTTTGTACTCTTTGTCGCCCTCATACCAGGAACGTGGCACAGCCTTTTTCTTTTCTCGCTATGTCTCCATGGACGAGAATGCCTGTCATCAAAATTATGACTTCATCTTTGATGTCTGGCGTCCCGCCAGCATGCTGCCCAGTCGACAAGCGGACGGCGTGATGGCCAGTATAGCTGCTGTGGGCTTGGCAGGCCTTTCACACCTGACGATGTGTGCAGAAATGATGGACTGGTCGCGTCGGAGCTACGGCGCCGCTCTCAAGATGACAAATGATGCTTTAAGAGATCCCGTTGAAGCCGTTAAGGACACCACCATGTTGTCCATTCTCGTGTTGGGCACCTACGAAATGTTAAGCGGTCGTACCAACCAGACAGTGAGAGCTTGGCAAAACCATCTGAACGGCGCCTCTGCTCTGGCCAAGATGCGAGGCCTCGGCCAGTTCAGAACCAGAGCGGGAGCACGAATGTTCATGATGCTGACGCAGATCGTCCTCATCAACTGTATGCAGAGAGACATGCCCATGCCGCAGTCTCTCATCGACCTCCGGAACCAGCTGGGTATGCTTTCGGGCGGAACTGACCCTGGCTGGCGATTATCTGGTCCCATATACAAGGTCATGCAGTTGCGGTACGACATTAACAGCGGGAAACTTAACCAGACGGCGGATATCATCAGTCAACTGTCTAATGTCGATCAAGACTTTGCGGATGTCATTGCCGATTTGCCTGAAACGTGGAGATACAGATCCGTGAGGCTTGCGACAGCACACCCAGCCGTTTTCGATGGTCACCGCTGTGATGTATACGCTACGCTAGGGCTGGCCGCGACATGGAACGGCGTCCGATCGATAAGAATGATGGTACACGAGACCATCCTCGGAGAGCTCTTCAAATGCTTTCAGGGCCAGCACATTATGCTCTGGCCGTACGAAGCAAGATTGCAACTGGCAAAGTCTGTCGAAGTGTTGGAGAAACTTTGCGAAACTGTGTTGGCAAGCATTCCTCAACATTTCGGCGTTGTCAACTTCAGAGACGCCATGTTTAGAGGCGGCGGCGGCGGCTCAGCATCAGCCATTGTACCAGCAACGAAGTCCCCGTCTCGAATTGTGCGGTCTCCTTCAATTTCTTTGTCATCGTCTTCGCCGTCGTCCGCGGCTGAAACGCCGCCCAGCCCGAGGTCTTTCAATGGTCCAACTCTGCAAGATCCAACCTACGCAAAGGGCCGCAGCAACGATGCTGAGCGGTTCATGACCCTTGCTTCCGCAAGCAATACGATTGTGTGGCCGTTGTACTTGGTTGGCGTTTCATCATGTTGTACGCAAGAAGTCAAAGACTTTGTCGTCGACCGATTGAAAGCAATCCTCGAAGAGTCGGGGTTGATGCAAGCTCATGGAGTGGCCCTTATGGTTCGGGACAAGGAAGTATATATCCCATGGTCTGATGTATCCTGGAATCGGATGCCTCAGACACATATACCGTCCGACTTGGTCGTATAGAGCTGGAGAGCTCAGTGAGGCGTGGCTGAATCGCTTGCTGCCTTTGTATTAATAGACATATACATAGATGGTGCGCAGATGATCCTAGTAACTTTGGATGTGCAGTAACGTGGTCAAAAGGGGTATCATGTCTTTTCTTCGTCCTGTAGCCTTTTAACTATATCAGCGTCAAGTCGGCCACGATGTCTCACCAGTTATCGAAATTGCCGAATCCGCCGCTTTTGAACTTCTTCTTGGCCGGCTCCTCCCAGGTATCCAGGTCGGCCGCCCCCTTATCCGTAGCAGCGGAGCCCTGCGACTTCAGGTATTTGCCCACGCCAGCACCGGCACTCCCACTATCCACGGTGCCGTCGGCTCGGATTCGCTTGCCCGTCCACGTTGTCTTGTCGTCTTCGGTTCCTCCACTCAAGGCTATTGCCTGCCTCTTCTTTTCCAGATTATCGGTCTCGCTCTTTTCCTTGAGGAACTCTTGAAACGGATCCAGATAGACCACCACGTCTTTCATAACAATCTTGTTGAGAGGTCTGTCGGACCCGTCAGTGGGAACGTCTTCCATCTTGGAAAGCACGTCGAGCCCACCAACAACCTTGCCAAATACAGTATGCTTGTTGTCCAGGTGCTTTGTTGGCCGATAGATGATGAAGAACTGGCTAGAGTTGGTATTCTTGCCTTTGTTTGCCATACTAAGAACGCCGCGAGCATCATGCGTCAAAGGCCCATCAAACTCGTCTTCAAAGTTCTTTCCCCAGATGCTGGTGCCGCCCTTGCCTGTGCCTGAAGGATCGCCTCCTTGGAGCATGAAGTTTTTGATGTTTCGGTGGAAGGTGACACCCTTATAATAGCCCTTCTGGGCTAGTCTCATAAAGTTCCATACCGCGCGAGGTGCGTATTCCGGATACAGTTCGATGTTGAGGTCGCCCAAATTTGTCTCTATGCGGACATATCCTTTGATTTTGACCCGTTTCGGCTTGAGCATGTACTCTTCGTCAGTCAAGAGTGCCCGCTCGCCACTCGTCTCGGGCGTGAGGCCTGTGCTGGTGAAACTGGCAGCAGCTCTGCCGTTGGTGTAGACCGCAGCATTTGACGGGATCTTTTTCTCCGTTACCATGGATTTCCTTTGTCCTGCCGATGCTGCCTTCACAACGGCACCTGAAGAGCGGTTGACGTCGGTGCCTCCATCGCGTTCCTTCCTCGCTTTCTCGACAGCCTCCTTTGCGCGCAGAACCTTGTCACCAATCCTGCCTAGCGCATCAATGTTGACGTTACCATTTTTCCGCTCCTCCTCTTGCTCCTTGCTCAGGATAGCATCTTCGCCATCCTTGAGGTATTTGAACTGGCTCAAGTCTCTGCTAGCAGCGTTCTGGGGGTCCTGCAAGGTAATGATATCCGCTCTTGTAAACTTTTCGTCATCAACAAGATCCTGCCAGTTCTTCGCCTTGATGTTCATTCGTTCGACGGTCTCCCAGGCGAAGACGTTTGCATATGTTCCATGACGAATCGCAACGATGTGGGTGTTGTCAGTAAAGACCTTGAAGGTGACGGGATCGATCAAATCGCCTTGGCCATCGCTTAGGCCTGCGCTCCTCGAGTCGGTTTCGGCGTTCCTTGAAAAGTTGAGCTTGATCAGGTCTTTGGCGTTCAATGGCTCGCCATTGACAGGGTTTGTGCTGTGCTTGTCCAACCACGAACTGATGATTTCAACGTCGAATATGGTACCATCCTTGGTGCAGACCGGATTCTTGAAGGGCTGGAGGCTGGCGGCACAAAAGTTGAAGGGTAAACGGCGAAAGGAGCCTCGCGACCGCGAATTGACATTGGCGCCGGCGCTGGCAGAGTAGGCATCCGATGATGACCACTCAGAATGGGTGATGTAGAGCTTGTCTGTGTTTTTACCCATTGTCGCCGTTGACTAGGTTTGGTCCTTGGGCGGAATTGAATGAGGCTGGCAGACTTATGATGGCGATATCGCGATGTGAAGGACGTGGGTGTTTTGTCGTAGCCGCGCCATACAATCAATAATTGCAGAAGTTGAACCTGAGCCGGGAAACACGACAGGAATCTTCACCAGTGATCATGCAGGAGCGACGACTAGCGACACCCTGGCAGGTGGCAGGGTGGCTCCCGTCGTCGGCCCCAGCGGGGTGGCTGCCGTGCGTGCGGCGGCACCTTGTACCTAGTATGGGGCTGAGGCAACCTGTCCTCCCTACCTTACGGGTAGGTTCCCTTACCTTCGGGTACCTAAGCTACCTTCTTTAGGGATATCTGCGTCTGAATACGGAGAAAGGTACCTATGTTTCATCTAGTAGCTCTGCGTGGAATCCAGTAGCGCAGTGTTCCCTGGCGTACTGACCAATGAAACTTTCCAAGTGTTGAAAGTTCTAGCAGTAAGCGTACGTACCTCGGAGCTTGGCACGCACCTCCCTCACGCTGCAAGTTTCGCGTAAGGTCCGGTTCCTGTCTGCCAGGCTGGCACTGACAGACTTCCATCTACTACAAGCTCCCTTCAACACCGTCTCCGTGCAACGTATCCGAATTGGCCGGATTTGCTGAAATCCACGATCTCTCAGCGCCATTATTCAACCGTACCCAAGTCGCATGCCCTCTTTTGGTTCGGCATGCTACACGCGATCATCGTCTCAGCAACATCGTCGTAGATAGAGCTGGCTGGAGCTTGACACCCAAGACTAGCATCACGCAGCGATCGCCTCTCCTCGACTTCTAGTCTACCAAACCTTAAATACCTACTCTCCGTCGCAGTCTTCCGGTCGACGGTACCTGTTCTCAAGATGAAGGCCTGGCTCTATGCCTCCGTCCTGGGCATGTCCCTTTGGGCGGCTAATGCTCTGGAGGTGAAGATGGTAAGACTCCTATCTTGAGGCAATGATTGCGACATACCTACCCCGGTGCCCTTTGAAGCTAATTTGACCTCGTTTTCATAGGACCAAACGGACGAAAACAGACAGAGATGCTCAGGTAATTCCGGCAGTGGCTAGAGAGCGTAGATGCTATGCACGACACGATACTGATAATGGTTTAACGCAGGCATGTACAGCCGCAGCGCCTGGGGCGGACCCGTCGACCCTTACATCAACGTCATGTTCATCCCGAAGGAAGCGCCAGCGGACCAGGATCCTACCGTGAGCTTGGTCATCTTCGAGTGGAAAGACGAGGACTTGATCGGCGTTCGCGAGACTCCGGATGCAGAGAATGTAAGATACCCTCTTGCGACAGGCCCGAGAACAATTAAAACGGGTGACTGACACTCCGTTTTAACCAGAAAATCGGCATTTGCCAGGAAGCATTCGTTAAGAAGAACTACTGCAACGAGACGGACATTGGCAAGTTCATCATCGATAAGGAAGCCACGACGAAGTCGAAGAACATCATCGAAACGAAAGCCATTCACCTCAAGGAGCCCCAGAGCACCAAATACATGATCAAGAAGACGGGCTACTACTGCGTCCTGACCGATAAGTTCACCGCGGGCGAGTTTACCGCCGTCGTGGAGTTCCGTAATGCCTACGGCGAGCTGCCCGCGACTCAAATCCCGAAGTTACCCTTCTACGGAGGAATCACCATTCTCTATGCCTTAGTTGCCGTATTCTGGGGCTTCTTGTACTACCAGCACCGCCACGATATTCGTAAGTCGAAAGTTCCGATGCAGTTGTTGCCCATCTGACCACAATCCCAGTACCGGTTCAGAACTACATTACGGCCATCATTATCTTCCTTGTTGTGGAGATGCTCTTGACATGGGGATTCTATGGTGAGGCTCCCTTTTCTCAGTTGCAAGAAAGTAAATTGACCCAAAACAGACTACCTCAACCGAAATGGTGCAAATATCGGCTCCAAGGTGTTGTTAGTAATAGTAGCCATTTTGAACGCCGCTCGCAACTCATTCTCTTTCTTCCTGTTGCTCATTGTCTGCATGGGCTATGGTGTAGTTAAACACACGCTCGGGCGAACGATGATCTGGGTACGCTGGCTGGCGATTGCCCACTTTGTTTTCGGGCTCGTATATGCGATCACCAGCTTGCTGATTACTCCAGACGCTGCTGGTAAGCCGTCATAACCTGTGATATCAAGCGGCTCAGACCGTTCCGGACTAACACACTATAGGGCCCTTTGTGCTTCTCATCGTCCTCCCTCTTGCAGGCACACTTACCGGATTCTACATCTGGACGCTGAACTCCCTGAATTTCACACTAAAGGATCTGCGTGAGCGTAAGCAGCATGCAAAGGAAGCCATGTACAAGAAGCTATGGTGGTGTATCCTCATCAGCATTTTCGTCATCTTCGGCTTTTTCTTCTTCAACAGCTTCAGCTTCGCATCAGTCAGCGACCCCGACTACGTTCCCTTCCACTGGAAGTCGCGGTGGTTCGTTCTCGATGGCTGGCTGAATCTTGTCTACTTCGCCGATGTGGCATTCATCGCCTACGTCTGGAGACCGACGGCCAATAACCGACGCTTCGCCATGAGTGACGAAATTGCACAAGACGATGATGGCACGTTCACGATGGCTGACATTGGCGGCATTGATTCAGATGATGATGACGAGGAAGCCCAAGTGGGCAAGAACAACACCACTGCTCCATCATCCACTCCTGGTCACGGCGGCTCCTCAGCCGCACCGGCGAGCATGCCCCAAGCGCAGCCACAAAGACACATTCCTCGCGAGTCTTTGGATGGAGAGACCATCTTCGCAGTGGGAGAAGATGGCGACAGGTTCTCGGATGATTCTGATGAGGAAGACGCCAAGCTTGTAAGCAAGAAATAGATGGTGGGCATTTTTGGGTTCCGGGCATCAGCAAAAGCAGCAATTGCGTAATTGCAGTGTAAAGTATGCACTTCAAGGGCGGCGTTGGCGTAGTATACTCGGTTTCCGTCATTTAGGAGAGAAGGTTCATTGTCATGTCATGTAGAGGTCGGAGGTACCCCATTGTCAATTATATGATCGCAAATAATGCTCTTGAGTCTGCTCTCGTTTGGTATCATTTTACAAGTGATTGTTAGGACAATTCTTACACATCGCCGCCAAAGCCGACGGGACGCCTCCTTCCATCATTCTCAGGCAAGATGGCCATTGCCTTGTAGACCTTTCCCATCCCGCCGGGGCCACGATCAACGAGACGCTTCCAGGCACCCTCAATGGCCTGCGCCTTATCGGCGGCCGCCCTGGCTTTGACTTGCTTGGTCAACACCTGGGCACGCTCTTTGATGCCCATCTGACCCAGAAACGCGCCTTGGTCGACCGGCCCGTGGACCTCAACACCCTCACTCGCGACCATCGCTGCCTCGGCGATAGCGGTGAAGTCGACGTCAGCGCTCAGGTCGACAAGGCCGGGTTCCGAGAAGGGACTGACGCGGCGGTGACGGCGGATACCCCTCAGAGAGTTGATGGGGACGGTGTCGGACGTGCCGTAATCCAGGATCAGTGCCGCGCCTGACGGCCGGGGCTTGGGATGCTGCTTTGAGCCGCCGATACGGCTGGCAAAGTCGGCGGCGTAGATGGAGGCGTCGGGGCAGATCTCGGCTACGGCGTCCGGGACGGTGGCCTTTAGACGGCGGTAGCGGGATGAGGTCTCGGGGACGTAACGCGAATGGCGGGTTGGGCCTGTGGCGAGCGTCATTTGGAAATCGGGTATCGGGTCGCCCTGTTCTGATTTCGGTATGTTCATGGTTGCGTGAGTGGCGTCTGGCGGGGTTGGCGAGACGAGCATCTCGCGCCATTCGATCTTGGGCCCTTCAGGTTCACGAGGAGGGGGACTTCTCGGGGCGGGTTGTCCTGATATGGGCTCTTTGGGCGGTGAAGGGGGGACGGTGACGGCTTGGAAGGCGTGGATGGGCAGCGCATCGAAGAACTCGTGTGCCACTATCAAGGGCATCTTCTCGGGGCCTGGGGACGGTGTCAGCCTTTGTAATTCTCCCGAAGCTGTAACGGACCCACGATACTTACTTTGAGGGATAGACTTGATGGTCTCGGTCCAGACGATGGGTAAGTTGGTCCGCTTGCAAACGCTGTGATAGCCGACTTTGGATTCGGTCATGGGCGCGTCAGGGCCGCAAAGGAGGTTCTTCTGCGCCTCACGGAGCTGAGGGCTGGCCTCAACCATGTAGATGGCGTCGATGCTTTGCGCAAAACCCTTGAAGTTTTGCATAGTCTATACATGGCATATCAGTCGTGAACATTTAATCGCCATAGGTAACTCGATTCTACTCACACGAAGCATATCGTCCATCAGAGTGCCGCGTCCGGGGCCGACCTCCATGAGCTCGACGCCCTTGCTGGGCTTACCCTGGCTCAACCACTCCGCAACGAACCAGATGCCAATCAGCTCGCCGAATATCTGGGAAATCTCAGGCGACGTGACGAAGTCTCCCTTCAAGCCAAACTGATCTCTGTTCTCTTCGGCCAAACCCGTATAGTATCCGTCGATGTCACCAGTCAGACACATGCGCATATAGCTCGCGAGAGGTACGGGACCTGTCATCTGCGACACGAACAACATTAGAGGAATGCAATCAATGGCAGGGAAGAGCTTGGGCGTAATACCGAGATAGCCTCGGCCAGCTGTTTCGCCAAAGGCGTGGACCATTTCCTCTCCTCTCCATCCCGCCTCGATACCGTGCTTGAAAAGCATCTGGAAGCACGCGCTGCGCTGGTCCGCTGCACGGCGCGGGATATGGCAGCGCCTCGCAGGCCGTCCAACAGAACGCTTTGACGAGACAGTCGCTGCATCTTTGCTTATTTCCAAAGGTGGTCTTTGCTATTTCGAGTAAACTCCTGGGTTTCAACGAGCTGTCGCGATCATCGCGGGATTCCACGAGAAAGAGAGGTGAGTCCTCAGTAGCACATACGCATGCGGAACTGCAATTCGAGGAAGTGTTTCTCGTCTCGGGCTAGATAGGTAGCCTTTTATGATTTTCGCTTCGTTCGCTTCGTTCGTTCGTTTCGTTCACGGCTGCGCCTCGTGAGAGTTTCCAGTGACAAGCAGGAGGAGCTTCTGGAGCTTTGTCAAACCAAACTTTTGGGGTACGATAAGATAAGGGACGTATTACCTCCAATTCCGGAACGGCAACTAAAGCTCTGGCTGTGACTTGCATGAGCTCCCGCCGCCGGGTCTCCGAGAAAAAACAAAAGAATGGGACAAAGTCGGAGCAGGGTAGCCGCCGACTCGCCGCGCCTGATCCCTGCTTCACTGCAGGGCACCACCTGAACGGCAGCGCGATTGCAAGTCGAGGGCTATTCCCAAGTTGCGTAAATCACAACGAAACTGCCACACACGAGTCCCCCGACAACCCCTCTCGAGACGAAGACTGGAGACTCACCTACATCACATGCTCTCTTAAGTAAAAGGAGGCTTCTCCATCTGTTACGACCAAAACCACAACCACGTCGCCGCCGACCATGACGAGCAACGCCAAGTCGAGGTGGGCAGACAGCGCAGAGGACGCAGCCCTGGATGCAAAATTGAAGCGAGAAAAGGAGGAGAAGAAACGTTTGAAAGCCGAAAAGGCGCGCAAAGCAGCCGAGGCGGAACGATTGGCGCAGCAGGCGAGGGCGGCGAAGAACAGCAATGGAGCCGAGAACGACGGCGAAGGCGACGACAGCACACGGCCAGCGAAACGGCGCAAGTTCACGCCCGACGCTGAAGACAGGACGACAACGGCCGATGGCGATGGCGGTGCGCCGCTAGACGTAAAAGAGGGCGCGGCGAAGCTCATGCGCTTCCCCGTCGGCCACTGGGGCAAGTGCCGGAGCGTGGAGAACTACGACAAGCTCAACGATATCGAGGAGGGCACATACGGCTGGGTGTCGCGGGCAAAGGAAGCTTCTAGCGGAAAGGTCGTTGCGCTCAAGAGGTTGAAGATTGAACCGAGTGATCGCAACGGGCTGCCTGTGACGGGACTGCGAGAGATACAGATCCTGCGAGATTGCAACCACCGCAATATCGTCAATCTTGAGGAGGTTGTTGTGGGAGACGACACTTCAAAGATTGAAAAGTACGTAATAAATCTATCTATAAATTTGCTCCCACGGTGGTGACAATGCTAACAAGAGAGTCTATAGCATCTTTCTAGTACTAGAGTTCGTCGAACATGACCTCAAAAGCATCCTAGAAGACATGCCCGAACCCTTCCTCCTCTCCGAAGTCAAAACCCTTCTCCGACAACTAACCGCCGGCGTCGCCTACCTCCACGACAACTGGATCCTCCACCGCGACCTCAAAACCTCGAACCTCCTCCTCAACAATCGCGGCCAGCTCAAGATAGCAGACTTTGGCATGGCGCGGTACGTCGGCGACCCGGCCCCGAAGCTGACCCAGCTCGTCGTGACGCTGTGGTACCGCTCGCCCGAGCTGCTCCTCGGCGCCAGGGCCTACGGTAAAGCCGTCGACATATGGAGCGTGGGCTGCATCTTTGGCGAGCTCCTAACACGGGAGCCGCTGCTGCAGGGCACCAACGAGGTCGATCAGGTGACCAAGATCTTTGAGCTCTGCGGCGTACCTACGCAGGAGACGTGGCCATCGTTCAGGAGCCTGCCCAACGCGCGGTCCTTGCGATTTCCAAAGACGCCCAATGCCACCGGGTCCATGATACGGACCAAATTTACTACACTGACGAATGCCGGGTGTAAGTTGCTCAACGACTTGCTCTCGTTGAACCCGGATTCGAGGCCGTCGGCCAAGGAGATGCTGGAGCACAAATATTTCAGGGAGGATCCAAAGCCTAAGAAGGAGGGCATGTTTCCAACGTTTCCTAGCAAAGCTGGCCAGGAGAAGAGGCGAAGACATGAACCGAATGCTCCCGTTCGTGGGCAGAATGCGGCAGATCTGGGTGATGTCGACTTTAGCGGCATCTTCCAGGGCAGAGACAAGGAAGAGAAGGGCGGTGGATTCTCACTCAGGCTGGTGTAGAGAAGAGTTGATAGTTCATACGGCCATGTATCAGCCAGTATCATCAATTAAGCTATATATCAAGATAACACTCATAGACGTCTTGAGTTTACCTATATGCGGAGTCATATTTTGCCCGACCATGCTTCGACACGTAACGCCGCCCTTTGTGTTGTGTAAAAATGACCACCGTAAATGATTACCGCTGGACTCTTGTTCCTCGCTCTTGTTAGGCCCCCAAAGCAACTAGATATTCAAAAATTACAGATGAAAATTTTTGGTCATTATAGAACACGTCATTAAAGCATGCCCACTCCCGCGACAAACCATGTGAAGCTGGCCACCGTGAGAATGCTCATACCGACAGCCATGCCGAGAGCCTTGCTATCGAGACCAGACGCAGCAGAGCACGTTGCGCAGTTCCACTCGTTCAGGGGCTTGTATTCTTGAGCCTTGTACATGCCAAACTTGAAGCTGGAATAAACGCCCAGGTAGCCAGGCTGAGCAGTAGCACTGACGCTCGATTCCGCGTCGTAGATAACAAGAGTGTATTCGTCGTTTCGCAGCGGCGCTGAGGGGTCGGTCGCCTGCACGCTCGAATCCCAGGTGAAGGAGGCAGGTTGGGCAAAAGTCATGTTCTGTGTCAATGTCCAGGTTTGGGCCATGGATGAGCATGAAACAAGGACATCGATGGCCGTAGGAGAGGCCTGAAGGTTTGTGTAGTTCCATCCCCAGGTGACGTAGTCTCCAATTTTGTAAAGATTGATAGACTGAGCCGTGGCCGCTGGCGTGATCATGGTAATGCCACCAGCCGGATCTGTGTCATCGAAAGAGGTCGACTTGGACTTGCTGGTGCCGGTCTTGGTGCCAGTGCCCGTCTCAGTGCCTGTAGGAAGCTTTGCGGTGTTGAGGTTGGTGGTCTTCGCGCCGCCAGTGTTTGTCTCCTGTGCCGTTCCTGTTGCTGTGGCGCCAGTCTTCGCAGTCGCGGTCTGAGTTGCAGCGGCTGCTGAGTAAAGTTAGCTAAAGAGGTTCACAAACACAATGTGACGAGCGGGAGGCTCCCGAGGAAACGTGGCACGACATACCGGTTGAGGATTCATCGTTTTGCCGCACAACCAGAGCATCGACGTCTGGAAGCCACTTGGGCCAGGCGGAGGCCAGAGGAGTGAAGACGGCAAGGCCGAGGGCGAGAGACTGAACGGCCTTCATTTTGATGTGGGAGGAGGTAGATTCCCGGTGGAATTTATGAGTGAGTGTTGAAGATGAGGACGAGGTTCCTGGCGGGAGGACGTCGTCGAGGCCTTCGAAATTAACCAAAATGGGTTAATAAGCGAGTGTAGTCGGTCGAGAAGGACGTCCTTGGTGTCTTTCGATATTCAGTATCGAGTAGGCGTGGTTGAGGGAGATGGTGTTAGATCGTGGCCACCCCTATTTTCGCACAGTAAATTCGCAATAACAAAACCTGGGGGGTTGTGGTTGGCTTGTCGAGTAATTCGGAACCCGGAAGACTTGTGTTTGGTTTGTGAATTCCTCCTCTTTCAATAAACGACCAAAAACGAGCGGGTAGAATCAAGCGAGTGTCGATGTTTCGAATTAAACAGCAAAAAAGCGGATGTCGAGAAAGGGCGTTTGAATTGCTGCTGGGAAGCAAATCACATCAGGTTTGGGAGGAAAGAGGAGTCGACCAGGAGAGGGAGGAAGTAGAGGCACCAGCAGGCAGGCTAACTAAGAAGGCGCTGGAATGGGAGGAGAGATTTCGGGGCGGGTTCAACAGGAGGGAACGTGAATGGGGCTCCGATTGATTAGGTTTGGTGGATCCACAGCAACCAAGGCCCATCCCCCGAATGTGCAAGTGACTCTCGGGGGGAGAAGGGGGCCGGGGGGGGGGGTTCCTCGCGTCTCCTCGAACCTCCAGGGGAAGTTTGGGTGGTGGCCCAACGGTGCGAGTTTGGCTAAGGCGCGTTAAGGTAGTGACGGAATCATGGCACGGGCAAGGCCATAATCCGTATGAACGAAAAAATAACAATAAAAAAGAGAATGCAGGGCAACGCGATGCAGTAGGTACCTAGGGAACAGGGGCGAAGCCTGTTGGGCCGCACACCAATGCATTGAAAAAGATGGGGTGGCACAGCACAGCCCGGGCTGAGAAGAGGACATCGGACCAGTCAGCAAGGGAATCCAGCCAAACAGAGGGCTGGAAACAGTATTTTTTTTGGCTGGGGCATCCAATGCAGAAAAATAAACCCTGCATACGGGTATAGAGAGAGGCACTTCGTCTGCGTCGAGAGGATACCTAGGTACTCAAGGTATGTGGTGACAAAGTCACAATGGACAATGGACAGAACTTCATAGGCCACCCAACAGCCAACAGCCAACAGCCAACCGCCAGCCATCATGTTCCAACCGTCTTCCAATTCCCGTCTGGTCTCTTTCTCTCTTTTTCTAGGTACCAGTACCTGCCTCTTTGCGCTAAGAATCTTTAGTTCTACCGTCTAGCGTATCGACATGCCCTGGACCTTCCTCGGCCTGCATCCCCGCCACCCCAAAGCGTTGGTGCCGACCTCTTTTTTTTTTTTTCAGCTCGAGAGCGAAGTCTACCAAACAAGACTAAGACCTCGGTTTGTATGACATTTGGAAGAGTCCGAACCGTACAGAGTATTGTATAATACATCAATGCAAGACCCATGGGTAATGAGAGCATAGGTATCCATACTTGCCTGCACAGATACGGATGCCTCGTCTCCAAGGCACCCAGGCAATTACTGACCTAAGCTGAAGGTACGAATAGAAAGGAAGGAACCTGGACGGACGTGGGCGTCACTGACTTGGAGGTTCGCGACCTGGTGGTGCATCGGGTTCAGCATGTGGGGTCCACCCGGCACATCGTATTCCTTCCCCCTTCGTGTTGACATCCTCTAAAAATAATTACTCGGGACACGCGCCTCCACATCTTCAATCAATCATGAGACTGAGGCGAGACCGATAACCAGCCGCTTCCATCCGTTCATGATGATTTGCAGCCATCATGGCATCGCCTTCTGATGAGTTATTCTCTTCGAATAATCTGACAACACATCTATCTACCCACCTGAACACATGCCCGAGACTCTAAGCCGCTATTGCCATCGCCACCCTCAATGTGAGGTGAGCATCCCGTCGGATCTCCTCACGGGTTCCCCAACCCCCGACCCGAGCAACAAAGCCACCAACAGAAAATTCCCGTTGTGTTGTCCAGCAGGCTGTCTTAAGCCAGCTTGGGTTCTCACAAGCATAGCCAAGTCGTCTAGCTACATACACAAGACCATCAGGTAGTCGCCCAAAAGGTCTCAGCCTCTCACAGTTTCGGACCTTAACACATTGGTGGCTCGTAACACCACCTACGAGTTACCTCCACTCAGCCCGACATCCCGTCAGTACTTTGTAGCGACTACGGGTACGGAGTACGCAGCACAGAGAGGCATGAGGACCTGGAATGAGGTAGTCATCATTCGCTGCTTGGCATCGGTGATGCAGAGTCGCAGGGTCTTGGCCCGCTTTGCATCAACTCTGAGCAGGTTTTTGCGTGCACATCATGCCTACACAGAGTCAATTTGCCGTGCCAATCTTTCATACTTGCTGGACTGTTTTCGTGCATGCGACCGAGCGAGGCTGCAAGTCTGCATTAATGCTTTATTAGTGGCATATATTCCGACCAAATGCAAACCTCTTCCGTCCCGCCGGGATCGACGTTCATAGTCTGGATGCCCATGTCGTGATCCCTGGGTCAGGATGCGACAATCGACCGGGAGTTCCCAGCTTCGTGCGGCGAACAGCTCCGTCGTTGAAACCGTCTCTTTTCTGCGGAACCTCACCCAGCAAATTGACTGCACCAGTGATTCATTCAATCGCTCCAATGTATCAAGCAAAGCACAATCGTGCCAATATGGATGCTTCTTCAAACGTTGCTATACTCCGAGACATGTAGAGGTTCAGGAGACTGCGAGTTACCAACACCTTGCCCGATGACGAGTTGATACAACTGATTTTGGACCTTTTGTGCATACTAGGTAGGGCAGCTTGGACTGCATCAATCAAATTGAGCATCCCTCCGCATAACGATGGGTCACCACTGTTATCCGGTCCCCAATTTGAATACATTCCAGCCAGCATCGCCGTCACAAAAGCAACCCTTCCCTACCTGGCTGGGCCTCGGTCTATATCGGTGCAGCCTCCAGCACGGGAAACGGTGTTTAAGGAGTCCAAGTTCTTGTTCGGTGTCATGGTTTTGCGTCTGTGCAGCTTCAGGATTATTCTAGTCGGGTACGTGATGGTCAACCCCCAAGAACCAGAGTATCCCTACAGTGACTCTCGTGCCCAATCCAGGGGCCCCTTTATTATGGTGTCTAGTCAAGGTGCTTGCGTTCTCGACATTGAGTTTGAGTAACAAGGGACGAGGTTTGGACGACTCGAGACTTCCCGCCGGATGACGTGCCGCCTCAGGGACCACGGGCAGTCCTTCTCCCATCCCCAGGAACTGACTGGATCTGGCCTGGATGGATGCAGGATTGCTCTTCAACTCACCCAACAGACAGCAGATGGGTGGAGCACGAGCCACCACTCGCGATAAGGCGACCGAACTGCCTGCCTGCCCGCGCACCACACTTTGCGCTTATCGATAATACGATAAAAGCTGTCCGACAGGCACTGTGGCGGCCATGGCCGGGCAGGGAAGGCATTCCAAGTAGGTAAGGTACCTTTGTACCGCTCTCTGGGTGCCTGCCTCACCTGCACCTACCTTACCCGTCCGCGACTACCTCGATATCACACACAGCAGAGTTATTTCTCCAACTCAAAAATTCAAATGACCTTGGTCAATTGACATCACGGAGAACACAAAGGCCATGTCGTCTACGAAGGATTCCACGGTCTCGATCGACAGGAATTATCTGGACACCCCCATCAGAAGGTAAGACCTCTTACTTACACCTCGCCCGCGCTGGCAACCAAGCCACTCCCAGTCCGACCTATGAACATTATATCACGACGAAGGCTAACTACTCGAGCAGGGCTCAGTTGGTACGTCTTACACGATTGCCCATCCTTCACCTGTTCCTTCGTCTTCGTGAGGATTGCTGACGAAGCCTGCTTAAAGAACACCGACAATGATCCTAACTCAAGTTATCTCACCGTCACTATTACCCGCGCCGAGCATGACATCCTTGTCAAAAAGGCCCGAGAATTCGGTATGCACATAAATTATACTTTGCGCAGCTTCTTCCGGACATCAAAACCCCGATAATTCTCTAGTTATTGACTTCTCAATAGCAAATTTGCGTCGTAACCTCATGCAAGGTGGTGTAACTGAAGCTACCCTGGCTGTAAGTCGAGGCCTCCACCTTTGACCCCAGTAAACGTCACAAGCTAAGCGATGAGCTTCTAGGTATTGACCTGTGACGAGTCCAACTATCAAGAGGATAATGTTGAAGAGCAGTTCACTTCACCATCCGAGGCTCCTCGGAATGAGATTCAACGGCCAGTCAGCCATTCACGCGTGACGACTGCCCCAGCCACGCGAGGAAATGAAAACTCAAGTCGACCTCCTATCCAGCAACCTGTCAAGAGTGAGTGGGCTGAGGAGGAGCCTGGCACCCTTGATGAATCTGAGGTGACAATCTCTCCCATTGAGCCTGAGCTTAAGCCTGAACATGGTTTTGGGGATCAGAATGATTCCCAGTTGCCCATGCGGCCTCGCTTCGAGCGTTTGGCCACGCGGACTGTCTTGATCTTGAACCTCGCCGAAGGCACAACTCACGCTGACATCGTTGGCGTTGTGCGTGGTGGTCAGCTTCTGGACATCTTCATGAGACCTTACGACCGGACCGCCCATGTGTCTTTCCTGCATGGCACTGACGCAGCGGCCTTCCTTGAGCATACCCGGCGCCATGATCTATACATCAGACAGAAAAGAGTAGGCTACGCCGTTCGGTTTCCAGCGTCACGTATAGCTAATCGCAATGACAGGTTGATGTTCGATGGAGTGATCGACACTTCACCTTACCTGGCCATGTTGCGAGTAAGCTCGGCATTGGTGCTAGTCGCAATCTCATCCTTCGACGATGCGACCCGAAGCTCACCGAAGAGGAGATTCGCGATGATATGGAGCACATCCACAACTTGGTTGTCATCGCTGTCAGTTTCCGAGGCGGAAGCTGCTACATCAACACGAACTCTGTGCACAATGCCATGTTTGCGCGGACCTGCATGATGAGTCGATTGTGAGTAGTACTTCACGTTGAGCACGAGTGCTTTTAGACTAATACGTCAGCAGCAAATACAAGGGATCTAAAATCGAGTGGGACGTTGATGAATGTGCGCAGCCCTTGCCTGCCGAGCCTCAGCGAGTCCAGACTCAAATACCCCCGACCAGACGCCCAATGAATCCCATGGCCAACCGTTTCGAGCTTTTGAAGTTGGACAAGGCTGAGGAGGACGAGGAAAACATTCGGCCGAAGTTCCAACCAGCTCTCAGCCGAAGATTGTGGGTTGGTGACGAAAAACGACGTCCAGATCCCATACGAATTCCGGCGAACTTGGAATTGAGGGGCGGGGTTTAAGGGCTCCCTGGTATATGTTGGTCGTTTGAGCCTACGGGCCTCTGTTTTGGGTCTTTTGGGGGAAAGAGTTTGCTATGTTTCTTGGCGGGAGGGTAGTACGGAGTTCTAGAGATACCCTACGCTTCGAGTGCGTTTGCTACTTTTTAGAGGCTACTCTCTCCGCGGATCTTCGACTCCATCTGCGAAGACGGGATAGACCTCTGACTAATTCCTTGTGCGGTCGATTTTTCAGCATCAACAAGAGCATCAACTAGCCACGTGCCTCTCGTGACTTTTGTATATCTAACTGCTCCTCAAATAAGAGCAGAACGTCGAACTAACATGCAGTCCGTCCGATTCTACTTCCTTTGGCACACTTTGAACGGCGAGACTCCAGGGATTCTCATACTCACATCTTGAATCTGACCCTATGTGATGTCTCATTTTCGATCTTGCGCGAGTACACTGGCTTGGTTGGTCCTTTGTAAGTACAGCATTGAGGACCCAATGATTCGATATATTGCACCGAGCTACTTGCCTTCTGCTTTATTATTCCATTCTCGCATGTATTCCATCGTCCTACGAGAGGCCAAAGGGTGTATGGGCCACAGATTCAGAAGAAGCAGCGTCTCCTCGGTACAGTGCAAACTTGCTGGGGCCACGTAGCCTGGTGGTTAAACGGGTGATGAAGAAACTGGGACGCTGGTTTTTCGTAGGGATAGGGTTCGAACCAACGCCCGAGCTTTTTTGTTGATTTCTTTCCCATCTTCCTAGTCCTTCGGTGATGGGCTATTAGTTCCTGGGAGGCAGGTGACGTCCAATATCAGGCAGATGTTTCTGGAGACGATACAGGGAATAGAGAGCAGTCGTGCCTACCGCGTCCACACAAAACTTAACTCATGTCATGATACCAGGCTCGCTCTTGTGCTAGGCATATCAATCAACTGTTATATAGATTGGTAGGATATCAGAAATACATTCGTACTTCATAAATAGAACAAATTTTGAAAAAAGAAAAAAAAAAAACTCCAGTCCAAACGAGTCCTCCATCACCCGTATCCAACACCAAGCAGGTTACATACTAAAGCAAAACATCTCATCCCCTTACAAAAACCCCAGAAAACCAAGTACTCCTCAAACAACATTCCAAGCCTGGTCAATGGGCAAACTCACTCCGTTAATCGTCCTCGCCTGGTCCGTCGCCAAGAACACCACCGACTGCGCAACCTCAAGCGGCGTGATATCCGGCGTCGACTCGGACGCCTGAGCGTGGAGAGCATGAACGGGCTCAACCTGCGCGTACGCCTCGGCGTCGAACTCCTCGTCCCCTCCGTGGCCGGCGGCAATGGCCTTGCCAATGCGCGAGTCGATGGCGCCGGGGAGCACCGCGTTGCACCTGATGCCTTCCTTGCGGAAACGCCATGCCACGTTCTTGGTTGCGCCAATCTACCGTCCCAGGGGTGTCAGCGATATTCTATCTACCCTTACAATCTCCTGCCGAGATGTCTACCCAGCGAAGAAAAGGAGTTGACGAAGAAATAGGAGAAAGAAACGAACCAGACCGTGTTTGCTGCACGTGTACGCTATCCCAGCCACGGCCCCCGAGACGCCGGCCGTGCTGGCGACGTTGACGATGACGCCAGACTTCTTCTCGAGCATAAAGGGGATCACCGCTCTCATCATCTTGACCGGGACCGTGAGGTTCACGGCCACCACCCGATCCCATTCAGAATCCGTCACGCCGTCGGCGCTGCTAAACGATCCCATCACGCCCGCAACGTTGACGAGCAAGTCGATACGTCCGCTGGAAGTTCACCCGTCAGTCTGTCGTGTCTCCATCTCATCGACACCCTTTCCTCCCTCTTTTGACTACTCCTCTTCTCTCCCTTGCAACCAAAAAACTCACCCAAAAGAAGCAACAGCAGCATACACCCCATCCTCGCACGCCCTCGGCCCCGTGAGATCAGCGCGGTGGAAATGAAACCGGCCGTGGTCCGCCTCCTGGAGCAGCGCGTAGTTGAACTCGCGCGCGTCGAGCCCGCAGACGGAGTACTGGTGCGCCAGGAGCAGCTGCGCGCACGCGAGGCCCACGCCCGAGCCGCACCCCGTGACGATGGCGACCTTGCCGAAGCCCACGGGGTCGATGGTCGCGGGCGGGATGAAGAGGGCGTCTGGGGAGGTGGTGAAGAACATTTCTGGCTACTCGTTTCTAGCGGCTCTCCTTCCTATCTTGGCGGTCTAGGTCTTGGTCTGGAGAGCCAACTACAGAGGTAATTTAACAACTGATACTGGTGCTTGCTGTAAGTGGGAATCAAAGTTTCACGGCTGGATATGGCGTTTGCCCGTTTCTACGAGTTACTCTCCTCTTCAGTCTATGGGGTGCTGTTCTTTGACTTCTTATACCACCTCGCCTCAAAAGCCAAGTGGTGTCATCGGCGTGCCTGAAAGACGGCTACACCCGGACGAAACCTAGATGATTCGATGGGAAATCATAGCACACGCGGAGTCCTGGTATAACTCAAGCTCGGCACATCTCGTCCCAGACGTCTCAAAGCAGGCCCCTGCTGGGCTGTTCTCATTGCTCATGTGGCTTATACCGGGAGAGGTGAAGGGGCGGATAAGCGAAATAGAGGACCAGAGAACCGTTCGACGCAGTATCAGGCCACTTTCGATCGGGGTAATGAAAGCATGCTTGACGACGACCTAACTCAAGGTACCATGGACTCATGGAAGAGTCCAAGTAGACCGGTGCGGGCCGTTCTCGAATATCACGCCACAGCCTATGGCTGGAAACGGGAAGACAGCCACGTGGGATTGCGCGGGGGCGGGGTTTGAAAGGTGAGCCCATGTATCAACGCTGGCCGGGATTCAGTGCTTCTCCGTCACCTCGAGCACTACTGTGTGAATGAAAGACAACATGGCTTATTTAATATCTGAAGCATTGGACCCAATGACTGCTGCGAAACTGGTAAATGAGGTGTGTCCCAGGGTATAGTTTTCCTGCCTCGATATCCCATCCTGCACCTCGGCCCTTCTCACCCAAGCAATGCTTTGCCACCTTGAAAAAACGTTTGGAATCCCATCAACCCGTCGCAATGCAACACCGAAAGCAAAAGAATTACGAAACACAAATCAAGCGTGTACCCCAGGAAAATCGCGCGGTTAACTCCTGCATTCCTCTTCACCTGACCACCCCCATACCGTTCAAGCGATGCATCGGAACCTACTTCGCGTTGTTCGCAACTGATGCCAGATAGCCAAGCAGAAAGCTTCGGTCGGCAGGAGAAATCGGTGTCTGACTGCCGCGACGGGACTCTGACAGGCCCTCCGGGACACCCTGGCCGCTTGCAGAGGCCAGAGAAGCCACACGCGATCGCATGCTCCCATCTGGAGGAGCCATCATCTCTCTGGCCTTTCCCTTATCCTCGGAAGCAAAGCCAGGCCCGGGGCTCGGCGACTGAGGCTTGCCAAAAAGCGATAGAAGCTTTTGCCTCTGTTCGGGGGGCATCTGTGATTTCTGCTGCAGCCCAGCAGGTGCCGGGAGAGCGGATGCTGACGGCGGGCTGGCCAAGCTGGCCGGCTTGTCGACCCCAAAAACCGAGGCTAAAGCAGGCGCACGAGGGCCAACAGGTTTGCTCATGTTCTCGGCTCGCTGGAGGATCTGATTCGGGTGCATTTGAGGCGAATGATTATTGTATATGGCGGGATTATTGTTCGCGCCTTGGTGATAGAGACCTTTATTCTCCGTTGTTCTCGGGCTATAACCCCCAACATTCTGAGGGCTTCTGTGCTCTTGTCTACTAAGCTGAGACTGGAGCGATAGACTTTGAAAGGGTATTTGGGAGGTCGGATCCGAAGCGCTCTGAGGTGGTCTGCTGAGAGGACTGCTTGAAGCTGGCTGAACTCCACGGAACACGGGACTGGGAACCTCCTGATTGCTAGCCTTTACGGTCGATATTCCCTTCAAAAGAGCAGCGCTAGCTGTAGTTCCGGGTAGTTCAACGGGTTGGTTGGCAGGTGGGGAGCTGACTTCAGGGTTCTTGAACATTGAAAGGAGGGCAGACCGATGCGCAGGATCGACAGGCTGCTGAGTCCTCATGGATGGACTTCCCTGGGGGTGTACTACGCCTGCACCCGGCATGCTAGGCGACTGAGGATACTGAGGAGCTCCGTTTCCATGAAGTCCAATTGGCGACTGCCCCTGCCCCTGAGACGCGGATCCGTAGAGCTGCTGGTTTGCCTGACGAGCCTTATCTGGACTAGCTGTTCTCGTGTCTGACTTGAGCACTCCCAAGAGAGCCATAGAGTGATTAGAGAGTTGACTGCTAGGCGGCTTGGGCTGATACATCATGTTCTGACCTTGCTGCTGGAAGTGTGCTGATTGATACTGAGCATTCAGGGGTTGGTTGACAGTCCCCTGTGCGTGTTGAGGGGGCGGCGGGGGTGTGCCGTCGGCAAACGCATTTCGGTTCAGCAGGATCTTTTGAGCTTGAGGCGGCAATGGTTGGGGGTGCCTCAGGGGCGGCTGTGGCAGATGAGCAGCGCCGCCCATCATCGAAGAGCCGTACTGCCTGGCTTGAGGATGAGTTGAGCCAGCATTTCCAGGCTGTTGGAATGCCCAAGCCTGTGGCGTCCCGTCTGGACCGATGGGGAAAGCCGGCGGAGCTTGATAACTCGCCAGCGGTGCCCGTTGCTGAGGGTGATGTTGGCCATGAGGGCTTTGAGGCTGTGGGGCCTGCCTAATAGTATGATCGAGGGGCGTATGAGGGAGCTGCGAGACTGGAACCCCTTGGGCGACTGCTTGATTCTTGGCCTGCAGGATAGCGAGCAGCGATGCGCCCTTGTCTGCTCCAATATCTGGAGAGGCTGGCTTCGATGTTGCTTGTGCTGCCGTCGGATGGACCTTCAAGAGCCGCTGCAATTCCTGTGTTGCACCTTCCAGAGTATCGAGGCCTGGTGTCCGAGTCGATACATCAGTCGCGGGTTCGGTTTGCCAAACTTCGTCTTCAGTGACAGGCTCCTCGTGAAGAGAGTAGGGGTTGAAGTGCGCCTCGTTGGCAGCCTTGACAGCATCTTTTCTCTTTTGCTGCACGACCCATTTCTTCAAAGGAACCAGAAAGGGTGCAACCATGTAGAACTTGTTCGCATTCGCAGCGGCGGCGGCTTCGTTTTGAGGTTGGTTCCCTTTCTTTCGAAAAGCGGGTAGCTCAGATAGTTTGTACCACTGA